GCTGCGCATGCCAAAAAATTAATCGTGCACGCGGTTCATGCAGAACGTAAGTGCATGTGTATCATGCGTTCATAAGGAATGGTATAAAAAAAGAATTGGTGCAGATATCTAGAACTATGGGGAGGATTTCTTTGGAGACCAGAAGGAGAGTAGTTCTTTTAAGGTGTTATTCAGTTGCTGCTATTCAGAGGAGACTCTTTGAAGTTGAAGAAGGGATTACAATATCTAGGTTTTCCATTTAAAAGTTGCTTAATTAAGAAGTATGAAAATGCACCCCTATACTTACAGAACAACTTGAGTTTATTAGTAAGAGTTTGGAATAAAATGAACTCACTGCTGCAAAGCTTAGAGATAATAAATTCATTGAGAGGTGGCTTACACTAATAATATCCATAAGATCAATTCAGAGAGCAAAGGTGGGAACTGGGATGGAAAGTATCAAGACAAAACTATTGCCAGTTGATAAGAGAGGCTAACAAGTTTAAAGATTGAGTAGTTGATGGAGCAGCTTATGGCTAATAAAAATCATGTGCATAATCAGTAAGTTTATCATTTATTTTTGCTATTAGTTGTTTATAGTAGTACTATTGTTAGCATTATTATTATTATATTATTTACAACACTATTATTATCATTATTATTATTATCATTCTTTTATCATTATTGTTGTTGTTTTATGCCTCTCGTTACCAAAATAATAATAACTCTTATAGTCCTAGTATACAGGGTATCATAATAATTCCACATCGTGGCAAGGTTCCATATATGACAATGTATTTGGCCTCAAAACTACAAATATTAATTAGCACTTTAAAGAATTAATTTTAAATTTAATAATTGATTGCATGACCCTAACTCCGGCCTAAAAATTTGCTCGTTAGCAAAAGCATGTGTGAATTCGTCTCTGCCTCCACTTGCGTTTACTCCAATAAGGTGATAATCTCTCACCAATTATTGTCTAAAGGTATATCAATACCTCATACAGCTGCAGAGACGATTCATTATCATGTAATGAGTATTAGTCACTGGTACTGTAACACTATTGGATTGTAATCATTACTGTATTGTTATCTTGTTGTCATTATACTTTATGGTTTCATGTATGTATTTGTTTTGCGCATGCCCAGTGGTGACTAGCATGTGATTCTGATTTTCTATGGTTGTAACTCTCTCTGTCTCTTTTTCTTCTTATCAACTTTTTGTTGGAAAAACATTACTTTTAACACCTAAGAGTAGCCACATTACATTGGCGCAGTGGGTAGACGTCCTTCTATATTAACTGAGAATGGCTAACAAACCCGTAATCCTTCCCAATACTTTCTCTGGTTCAGAGTCGTGGGACCAGTGGATTATTCACTTTGCAAATTGTGCAACTGTTAATGAATGGGATGATGGAAAGAGGTTGGCCTTCCTTACAGTGCGACTGCTGGGCCGTGCTCAGTCTGTATTTCAGAGACTCCTGGACGACAAGAAGGACGCCTACGATTATGCCGTGGCTGCTCTGAAAGAGTACTTTGACTCACCTGGCAAGCCTGATTTGTATCTGACCAAGTTATCTACAAGAAAGCGTGGTCATACAGAGTCATGGGTCGACTACAGTGAAGTATTAAGGAATTTGGCTGAGAAGGCCTACCCTGACTTAGACAAATCAGCTACTGAACAAATTGCATTGACACAATTCTTAGCTAGCATTACTGAAAGCCAAGTGGCTTTTGCTGTGAAACAAAAGATGCCAAGAACCCTGGACGAAGCTGTGACTATGGTCATGCAGACTGAGGCTCATTTCACTACTTCTCGTATCGACTCAACTAGTGCAACCGCAGTGGCAGCTACAGCTTCAACATCAGCAAATGAGAAGCTCATTGATGCAATCGAAATCTTGACAGGAAGACTAGAGAAGCTGGAAGCCAAGCTAGCTGCCAGCAACAGACCTTTGAGGTCACAATACAAACCACAAAGACCACCTCCAAGGAGGGATCCACAGTCGATTGTATGTTTTAATTGTCAACAGCCTGGTCCTTTAGCTAGAGGTTGTTTGGCTCCTAAGAGACAGGGAAACGGGAAACCCTCAGCCCAGGAAAGCAAGGGTCACAGGACTAAGGGTATTACAATGGCCCTAGATGAACAAGGTACATCCCCTGCATTTGCTCTTCATCT